CTATTAAATGCCAAGTATGCTAGAAATGCAGAGGACATACAGTTAATTAAGGTATTGTTCTTACTCTCAAGAGACTTGCTTTTTTCTAGAAGGAGGCTATTAGAAAATATCTAAATAGTTTTTCACTCGTGTTGACAGTAAGGTTCCAATGTAAATACAGTTTTCTTAAAATAAATAGGTTCAACATGGAAAAAAAAAGTCTATTCATTTCCTTTGCTTATTTTTTAATTGGACTTTTTTTTACTATTGAGTTGTTTGAGTTCTTCGTATGTTCTGGATATTAATCCTTTGTCAGATGCATAGTTTGCAGTATTTAAATATTTTCCCCTATTCTTCAGGTTGTCTTTTTACTCTGTTGATTGTTTACTTTGCTGTGCTGAAGCTGTTTAGTTTGAAATCATTCCACTGTTCCTTATTTGTAAGGAGATTATTTATTACGCATTTTTGACTTGTCACATAAAATTTAATAAAGAAAAAAATGTAAAAATAGATCTGTGCTCAAAATACTTTTAAAAATATTAAAATATCTGAATAACAATGCATTTAGATTTTTATTTTACATATCACTTGCATTATATTTAATTTCTTATTTTTTCATATTTTCTACATACAGAAAATAATCTCTTGAAATGATAATTTGTATTATTGTTCTCTATTAAAGTATATTTTGAAAATATAATATTGGCAATTGAGTATTGAAAAAATAAAAGCCTAGCTTTTGAATGTGATTCCTTCAAATTATTAAGAATATTATTTTTATTTAACAAATATTTGTCTTGAAGATATGAATTTAAGTAAAAACCCTTTTGACTTATAAAACAGGTCAAAAATGAAAAAATTGAAAAAAGAAAATATCTAATTCACCTTATATTCTTTTGTGAAGGGGAGAAAAGTCACCAAATAAATTTTGCTCCATGATGGTCATAACTTTTTGAACTCCAGACACTGGAGGTCAGAAGGTTGTTAAATATTATTTAATCCAATGTCCACATTTAATAGACAGAGAAATCCAGAAAAACAAAAGAATTTATCTAAGACTACAGACTAGGACTGGAACCCAAATTTCCTGAACTGTGATCAAATACTCTTTACTCTATGTCACACTACCTCTCTAAGAGTCCGATAGATTTTTCTCATTCCAAGTTCTTCCCATAGTCAAGCTGTACCTAATCATGTCAATTAGATTCAGATGAAAAAAGCTCATGCTCTTTTCTCCCTCTACACGCTCATCTTCAAAAATTCTATTTCATTGTTTCAGTTCAGCAGATAATTTTAAAAATTATTAAGGACTTACTATGGCTTAGGCAGTAGAGAGATACCACACCAAGTAAGATATATTCCCTGCCTCAGAGGAATTTACTGTAAATATAAACATATATTATGGTATTCTTATACAGCAAATTTATACAGTCATGTGCCACATAACGACATTTCAGTCAAGTATGGACCTCATATATGACAGTGGTCTTACAAGATTTTAATGCCATATTTTTACTGTCCCTTTTCTATGTTTAGATTTGTTTACACACAAAAATACCATTCTGTTACAATTGCCTACAGTATTTTCAGGATAGTACAATGCCATATAGGTTTGCAGCCTAGGAACCACCGGCTATATCATTTGACCTAGGTGCATAGTAGTCTATACCATCTAGGTTTGTGTAAGTACACTCTGTGATGTTTGCATAGGGACAAAATGGCCTAATGACACATTATCAGAATGTATTCCCAGTGTTAAGAAACATGTAATTGTATATGTGAAATTCACCATCACCACCCAATTAAGTTTTCTAATGGAAATCTCCTTCCTAGGTTAATGACTCCTTAATTCTCAGTGTAAAAATCTTGAAGCTCTTTTAGCTACTCTGGCATGAAAGTTAGTGTATCTGGTTTTTAATCATCGCTCTACCATTAACCAATTAGTTTTGAAACTTTAGAGTTTGAAACAAGTCCTAATTCTCTGAGCTTAATCTCCTCAATCAGTAAAATGAGAGAACAACAATCCTCTGTGAGTCTCCTTCCTTTTCAAATTCAATTAAACCCAAGGTGCTAGGTACAATCAAATTTTTATTCCATTTTTATTCATATTTCTCAGATCTCTATTTCCTTTTCTATGTTCATCATAGCCAAGCCCTTACAGCTCTTATGTGTAAAGGTGACTTATTGAAAGTAATTTTAAGCAAGGTTTAGTCTGGAGCTACCTAGGTTAGACTGGAGGTTGGAAAACTAATTTAAAAACATGTTAGAATAAAGATCAATCTCACACTAAAAGCCTGTTATTCAAGTTCCTCCAAAACGTGGCTTCAGTTGGCCTTTCTGCTTTTATTTCCAACTTCTTATTTTGTCCATTCTAGCTGCTATAAAAAAATACCAAGAACTGGGTGGCTTATAAACGACAGAAAAGTATTTCTCAGTTTTGGAGGCTGGGAAGTCCAAGATCAGGGTGCCAGCATGGTTGACTTCTGTTGAGGGTCTTCTTCCAGGGTGCAGACTACATACTTCTGACAGTGTCCTCACCATGGTGGAAGAGATGAACAAAATCCCTTCAGTCTATTTCACAAAGGCATTAATTCCATTCACGAGGGCTGCACCCTCACGACCTAATCACATCCCAAAAGGTCCCTTCTAATACCATCATATTCATAATTAGGTTTCAACATGTAACTTTGGGAGGACACGAGCATTCAGACCATAGCCCCCCTCAACACATAGCCTTTCCAGCCACCCCTTCAAGTCTCTGATGATGTTTCTATCCTTCCTATACGAAAAGTTTTACCTTTCTTATAAATTTAGTAAATTTCTTAAATTTTGTAAATTTAGTCTTTTAAAGACTGTTTTCTTCCATTGAGTCAGTATTTTTTTCTCTTAATTATTATACAAATATTTAAAGTATAAACCATAACCCTCTTTCCCAACTCCCTCTCATGAATATTGTAAGCATAAAATAGACGATATGTAAAAACTCTCAACCAACATTAGTGGAAGAATACATATAAAGGTGGTGTAAAGAGTATAACTTATATCTTTATAATTTCTTCTTAATTCCTTTGCAAATTAAAACAACTAGTTGCTGATCTTTTTTGTAGAGAGTTAATATGTATTTCTAAATTATTGTAGAGTATTTAATAAGTAGAATATTAAAAATATTTTCTTTGCTGCAGGCAACTTCTAATATATGAAGATGTCTGGACAAAAGTATATAAACCAATTAATATATATATATATATATATATA